AACTAGAAACTTCCCATATCCATAGGACTTTCTGAGAGAGGTTAAACATGTAATCTGGGTACTTTGGCCACAGCAAAATGACCCAGGTGAGGACTCGCCAATCCCTACATTGACCAGAAACTGGGAGGGGGCAGACAGGGATGTAGCAATGCACTGGAGCTGCCTCATTCTAGCTCACAGGGACCCAGTTGTTTAATTTCCAGGCTTTGAGGAGCCAGGTAATATCATGTTGGTAGCTTGAAATCAACCATAGTGGGGGTATTTGCATCATGGAAATTGGCAAACACTAGGTATCAGGGCTTTCCCTGTCCCCACCCCACCTCCCACAGAGAACCAGTTATTAAACATTTACCAGCACAACAGAGATGATAGCAAACTGAGTCTTCTCCCTGGGCAGTTTCAGTGTGAGACTTACAGAAATACTTGGTGGTCCTTAACAGAAACAAAGGCAGAATTAATGCAGAGAGCATGCTGTGAGTGGGAGACATGAGATAGAAAAAGGTATGAGGTAGCCAAACCAAAAGGCTGAGAGACAGGAGTAGAAAATAAGTTGATCAGTAATGGCAGGTGCAGTATAGGCAGAGGCAGAGAGTGGTGGAGTGGTGGTGTTGACAGATTCCTGGAGCAGGAACCAGCAGGATGCCCCACCTTGGGATGGAGACTAATCCCGGCTCCTGGAGTTTTGCTAGATCTTACATGTCCTTTTTAAATTTCTACTCTACTGTGGGGCTGGCTCTGCAGTGAGTCCTGCTTTCCTTACTTTCCTGTCTCTCCTGAAAGGTAAACCCTCGTCACAGAGGACTTGCAGCCCAGAGAGCATGACAGAGTGACCGTGACGTGTTGTAGCTCATAAGGTGCTTTCATGCTCCTCCTCATAGTTAATCCTCACAACAACTTTGGAGGGCATGTAAGTCACCAATGCTTGTTTGCATCAGCCAACACTTGAGATGAGGAAGCTGAGGCTCAGAGAATCTGCGAGACTTGCCCAAAGAAATGCAGCTAGAAAAGAGAAGCGAGAGACAAACCCAGGCCCTCCAGCATCAGGATGAAGCACTCAGTGCACTTTTGGTCCAGGTGAGCTGTAAGGCTCACGTATGGTGGGAAATGCCCTCTCAGATCACATTCCGTGAATGACAGCAGGTTTAGTCAACCATCAGAAGAAGGAAAAAGGTCGAGAGCTAGAAAAAGTGGGAGAGAACAGAGGAAGAGAGAGGAAGGGTGATTTGGAAGTTTTGATATCATATATAAATAATAGACTGTAAAGAGAAACACACACATATACACACATACAGTATATATGTAATATCACATGGATTATATGTAATGTATATTATGTGGCATCAAGTATACCTGGGTTAAAATCTCAGCTTCCCTACTCATTGATCATGAGAACTTGCGCAAGTTACTTATTCCTCCTGAGACTGCATCCATAAAATAGTTTCTCTGTCTACTGTATAAGATTCTGGCAAAGCTTGCTGAAAACACGTATGTAGACCATTTGGCACCAAGATTGCCATCGAGTAAGAAGCTTATATATTTGATATTTAGTTGTTATTTTTAAAAAAATAATTAAAATAACAAGTAACTATAATCATTTTAATGAATCTATGTTTATCCTGAAAAAAATCAGACAGATAATGAAAGAGCTTCTCTGTATAAAGGATATTTGTACGTGGATAATCAAGGATATTTTGTACGTGTGCACAGTCTGCTTTTATCAAAAATTTAAAAAAATCATTGGAAACATACAAGGCTCAAAATTAAATGTCTTTAAATAAAACATAAAGCACAAACAGCTGTTGCTGGAACTTGGTCCCTAGGCAGGTTTGATTTTTTGAATATGACAAAGAAGGCAAATTGGGCTTCGATGCCTGGGCTGTGTGCACAAGCGGGGGCAGCGCCTGCCTCGCTGACAGCCTGCTCAAAGGAGGGATGCAGATGCTCAAACAAAGGGTATTGTGCGCTGGACACACAGCTTACGGGGACCCTCAGCCTGCAGGGAATTCTGCAGCCACATGACAAGCAGCATCACTGAATTTCTTTCCATTTTCTGAAATAGCAATCACCACAAAGAAGATACCCTGACAGGTGCCATAAATGCAAAAAGAGCAAATTTGTTAGTCTGATCTAGGATAACACTTCTTGTCATCGGCACAGAAATCACCTATATTCCCAGAAACCTCGGTATGTGGCCCTACCACTTCCTACTAGACCCTCTGCTAATACATGGCAGACCAAGACTAATCCCACCTGGAGGATGGGCTTCTCAAGTCACGACCTGGAAATTAGACCCAGTGTATCTGTTGGGGGAGCCGTTGGAATATATTAATAATTCAAATATAATTATTTTTAAATATAATTTTAAAGTTAGTTAAACAAAACCAACGTAAACATGGAAAATAGAGCCAAAAATTAAATCAACCACCCAACAACAATCACCCTAACACAATTAGCACCTTTGCTTATGTGTTTTACAGACTTGTATTTTCCTCTCATGTAGGAGTTTACAAAAGAGTTGAAGGCAGCGTGTCCATATGATTTTGCAGCACACATTTCCATGAACTGGCTCATTGTGTGACAAGACATAACAAGGGAAGGTGATTTAAAGGATGTCCATCCTACCCCACCTCTATGCGGGGGTACTAGAAAGTACCACCATTAGAGAAGACTTGCTTCTTTGAGGAATTGATGTTGGGTTGAGGTGCTTCTCTCCCTGAGACTGGAAATATTCCAGGATGAGAAACAGCCCCGTAGCACCGTCCTGCCCAGTGGTCCTTACACATGAACTGATTCCAAGTTTGTGATCACATCTCAATGTCTTCTGACGGGGCTACCACACGTGGTGTTCACTCTGCTCAAAACATTCTTCTGCATCCTCCATTTATTCACCTGACTCCTTTTGACCACTCAGATCTCATCGCACAGACCCCTCCCCTGAGAGGCCTGTGCTGAGCCTGGCCTGATCCATCACCCAGACTCAGAGGGCTGTAGGGAACACTGCAGCTGTCTCTTCCTGGCACTTGTTACACTATTGTAATTTTGGCTTCTATGTCCATCCCTTTCTTAATGGGGAGACATGAAACCACATTCAGAAGGGAAGTTAAGGGCCAGGAAGCCTGGCTGTGCCACCAACCACGGGTGCAGGTGGATCATCATGGTGTTTGAGCAGCAAGAGCCCAGGCTCAATAGCACAGAATGAGGCAGTGAGGTCCAGGGTGAGGCCAGGGGCTCTAGAGACTGCAGGTGCATCTGTCCAATCTCTCCTTTCCCAGAGCTCTGCCTGGGCTTTCAGGCTGGAGCCAGTCTTTAAAAAGGTCACACCTGAAGAAAAGGAATCTTCGAGAAATGCAGTCATGATCCAATGGCCTGAGGCTCAGGGAAGGGGACAGGTCAATGTCAGTTCCACCATCAGACACGATTCTAGGGAAGAGTGGGGAGAGGAGGTGACTGAAATCCCCCAGGGGGGGCTCTCTGAAGGCCAACTAATCCCTGAACTATCGATATGGGACAGGAAGACACATAGCCAAAGATGGCAGTCATGGTCAGGCCAAATGCTGCACGCTATATCTCTGTGTCCAGAGAAAGGTGGGAATCAACACAGGGATATGGTCTGCAGGGCTGAGGCTTCCTGGGAGAAGGAGATTAGAATTTCCCCCTGTGGTCCTTAGCAGTAGGACCCCTCTAGACCACGGAACTCCAAAATAGCTTACCTGTCCACATGTACACCTTCTCCTAGGGGCACCAAGAGCAAGAGGTGGAGGGTGCTGGATAAATCTTTGTTGGATGGATGGATAGGTGGATGGGTGGATGAGTGAGAGAATTTCCACTACAAGATTACTCAGAGATAGGCCAGGTGTGGTAGCTCATGCCTGTAATCCTAGCACTCTGGGAGGCTGAATCAGGTGGATCATTCGAGCTCAGGAGTTTGAGACCAGCCTGAGCAAGAGCAAGACCCCATCTCTACTAAAAATAGAAAGAAATTAACTGGACAACTAAAAATATATAGAAAAAAAATTCGCCGAGCATGGTGGTACATGCCTGTAGTCCCAGCTACTTGGGAGGCTGAGGCAGGAGGATCGCTGGAGCCCAGGAGTTTGAGGTTTCTGTGAGCTAGGCTGACGCCACGGCACTCTAGCTGGGAAACAGGGTGAGACTCTGTCTAAAAATAAAAGATTACTCAGAGATAATTATGTCTCAAGAAGTGATATAAACAGTATCACTCAGGTAATCCATCGCCTCATCAAGGATCCTGAAAGGACAGATCCAGAGGCAAAGGAGAGCTGCAGACTGAGCAGCTCCCTGAGCCACGGCCCCTGAGGAGGCAGCTGGGTGAGGGTGCAAAAGGCCTCACAGGCAAGACTCTGTTCCTCAGCCACGCACGTCCTGCCTCTTAGCCACACGCTGCACCTCAGGGACAACTCAAGGCAACATTCCAGCGTCCCCACATCCAAATGAGGAATGCTATGGAATCTTGGGGTTTTGAAGGACTTCAGGAGTCCCAAGAGGGTACTTTCACAGCCCCCAAACTATTTCAACAGTTCAGATATCCATGTATATATACTCAGCCCTCTGTATCTGGATTCAACCAACCACAGATGGAAAATATTCAGGGAAAAAAAATGATAAAAGAACAACAACAATAAAAAACAATACAGATCAAAAAATCAATACAGTATAAGAACTATTTACTAGCATTTACATTGTATTATGTATTATAAGTAATCTAGAGATGATTTAAAGCATGTGGGAGGATGCATGTAGGTTATATGCAAATACAACACCATTTTATATGAAAGGACTTGAGCATGTATGAATTTTGCTATCCGAAGGGTGTCATGGAACCAATCTCCCACAGATACTGAGAAACAACTGTGTATATGAATATCTATCTCATTCTGTCTCTCTCTCTATATATATATACACATACATACACATATATACACACATACACATATGTGTATATCTATTTATATATGTATAGATACTCTTATTTGTATACAGATATACAGTCATGCATCACTTAACAACAAGGATACATTCTGACAAATGTGTCATTAGGTGATTTGGTTGTTGTATGAAGATAACAGAGTGTAATGGCACAAACATAGACAATGTAGCCTACTACACACCTAGGCTATAAGGTACTATAAGGTATGGCCTGTTGCTCCTAGGCTACAAACCTGCACAGCATGTTACTGTACTGAATAATATAGGCAATCGTAACACAGTGGTAAGCATTTGTCTATCTAAACATGTCTAAACATAGAAAAAGTACAGTAAAAACATGGTATAAAAGATAAAAAAAACGATACACCTGTTTAGGGCAGCTCCATTATAATCTTGTAAGACCCCTGTCAGACCTGCAGTCCATTGATTGAAGAGATATTACGCAGCACATGGCTGTATGTATACAGAAGAAAGGCAGAGAAAGAGGGATTACTTTAAGGAATTGCCTCACACCGTAGTGGGAGCTGGCAAGTTCAAAGTCTGTAGGGTGGGCAGGCAGGCTGGAGATCAGTTAAGAGTCGATGTTGCAGTCTTGAGTCTGAAGACTGGAAACTCACGCAGAATTTCTATCTTGCGATCTGGAGGCAAAACTCCTTCTTGTTCAGGAAACCTTAGTCATTGTTCTTAAAGCCTTCAACTGATTTGCTGAGGCCCACCCACATTAAGAGGGTAATCTGCTTTACTTAATATCAACGGATTGTAAGTATTAATCACATCTATAAAATACCTTCATGACAGTATCTACATTGGTGTTTGACCTACCAACTGGTCACCACAGTCTAGCCAAGTTGACGCATAAAATTCATCATCACAGCACACACTTCCACCAGCTCCCAGAGAGCTCCTATAGGAGAGATAAGAAAAAGTCTCTTGGCTTTGAAGCTGTTGACTTCTTTGGCTTCCTTTCCAGATCCTGGCAAGCAAGAAACACATTTTGGGTGAGGGAATTACCAGTTTGTAAAATACAGACAAGATGCAAACCAGGGGGAGAAAGGGCATTTATTGAAACCTTAAAATTTGTACCCCCATAATATGCTGAAATTAAAAAAAAAAAGATGCAAACCAGCCGCCAATGGCCTTCTAGCTGGGTAACTCACACTCACGGGGCAGAGCTCCCTGGGCACCCCTTTCACAATGCATTCCTGCATCACAGATGCAGTCCACCTGCCCATGCACCCTGCACGTCATGGGGACTGGGAGAATACCTAATCGTGTGCAATAAAAAGGGGCTCTTTTATCATTAGGTAAAACTCTTGCCCCAACCTGCCACAACTGGCTGGACCTGGCCAAATGGATTGCATTGCCACGTTGTTGTAAATGACTTTCCAGCCCCAAGCCATGTGTCCTTTCTGCTTAGCTGCATTTTTGTGTCATGGGAAAGCATTCACACACCCTTCTTTATGTGGGTCAAGGAGAAGTGCCCAGCACAGGCTGTGGGAACCCCAGGCTTGGACATCTCCATCTCCCTAGCCTAGCACTGGCTGAGGCTTTGGAGACTTTGCTGGTTTGATTTATTGACTCAGTCATGCCCAGGCCTGAGAAATCAAGCTGTCCTTTTATTCTTCTAAATTTGCTTTTATTTTTTAGACAAGATATCTGTTGTCTTCTCCAGACATCTTCTCCAGATATCTGTTGTCTTTCTGCTTGGAGGTTGCTCGCACCCCATAACAGGAGTCAGCAGCAGGCTCAGTGCAGGTTGTTTAATTTTTCGTTCCCTCACCTGTGAACCAGGTGCTCCAGTACCGATCAATAGAGACAAAGTGCTTGACACGGAGCGTGCACCAAACATAGCCCTCCTCCTCTTCCTTCCCCTTCCCTGTCGTCCATATAACACTCTTGTGGCAATATAACTTCCCACGTGCTGCCCTGTTAGAAAACATGACTTCCCTTTAAGACAAGCTTGGATCATTGCAGCTGGCAGAAGTGTACACTGGGCATCAGTTTGCCATCCTCCTGGCATTGGGGTGGATGGGAAGAGCACCTGCTTTGTTCCCAAATTCATACACTAGCTGGCACACTCGGACCTTTTGTTTCACAACGTACGGCAGACCTGGGCAACGGGTATCTGGGAATATGACAACCACCAACTGGGATGGACAGGCAAGAGAGAGTTTGGGGGCTGCTGCACGAGAGGCCGGGCACAGACAGAGCCACAGGGAGGTAGGAGTCAGGAAGTGCAGGGCCCTTGGGGAGAGAAGGGGTGAGGATCTGAGCCAAACGAGCAGATTGGGACAAAGAAAAGGCCACCTCGCACCGCACATGAGGAGCCAATTGTTTGAGGCTCTATAAACACTCATGGGAGATATGACATCATCGGGTGAGAGAAGCAGGTGGGTGGAAGAGGCGCTGTGTCAGGAAAGGCAGCTTGTCTTCCCTGCCGTTGCGTCTAGGCCACCACCATCATCTCTTGTCTGGGACATGGCAACAGCCTTTCACTGGGCCCCCTGCTTTCAACCTCGTCCCCTCCAGCCTGGTCTGCACAGAGAAGCCAGAGCCCGTACAGGCATGAGGCAGTTCCTGCCACTCCTTTGCACAAAACCCTGCAGTGGCTCCCGTCTCACTTGGAGGAAACCACAGTTCTCACAAAGTCCTTGCAACACCCTCTGTGGTCCTTACAATCTGTTCTCCCTTCCCAGGCCAATCCATCCACCTGGGCCGGCCACACGCGCACAGGTGCACCTCCACTGTCAGAGGGCCTCAGCCCCGGCTGCTGCTCTGCCAGAACAGAACGCCGTGTCCCCAGACATCTGCCTGATGAACTCAGTGGCCTCCTCCAGCCCCGCTGGGTGTCAGAATTCTCAAGGAGGCCTCCCCGGCACCTCCCATTTCCTACTGCGAGGTTCCCCTGCCCCCACAGTCTCAATTCCCTTTCTTGTTCTTCTTTCTTGTTTTTGTCCACGTGAGGTTTTTCTTTTTTCACGTTGTTTACTCTTTATCATCTGTGTTTCATCACGAGAGTGTAAGCCTCCTAAAAGCAGGAATTTTTGTCAGTTTTGCTCATGACTGTCTCCCAATATCTGAGATCAGTCCCTGGCAAATAGTGGGTGCTCCATAGACATGTGTTGAATGAATGGATGAAAGAAAGAAAGAAAGAAAGAAAGAAAGAAAGAAAGAAAGAAAGAAAGAAGAAGAGAAAGGAGGGGAGGGAGGGAGGAGGGAGGAGGGAGGAGGGAGGGAGGGAGGGAGGGAGGGAGGGAGGGAGGAGGAAGGAAGGAAGGAAGGAGGAAGGAAGGAAGGAAGGAAGGAAGGAAGGAAGAAGGAAGGAAAGAAAGAAAGAAAGAAAGAAAGAAAGAAAGAAAGAAAGAAAGAAAGAAAGAAAGAAAGAAAGAAAATGGACTTTGGAGCTAAATAGACCCTACTTAAATCCCTGCTTTCCACCACTTCCACACTGCCCCTTTTGGGAAGGTAGATTAAGCTTTCTGAGGCTCTGTTTCCTCATCTATAATTTGAGAAAGTCATAAATCCTATACCTCATAAGATTGCTGTGAAGATTAACTATGGGAACTTTCTATCAAGACCCTGGCATAAATTGGGCTTTCAATAAACATTAATTTTCTTTTAATATCTTCAGAGCTAGCACCAGAACATCTAAGAAGAGAGATTGCTTATTTTGATATTCCAGGCTACAAGAATCAACAAACATTTGTGAACTCCAGCTCTGTGCCAGGCCCATCCTATGGATAAGAATGGATGAGAAGGCAACTGGTCCCTCAAAAGCCACAGAGCTCTTGGGAGAAGCAGATCTAATAGTTATAAGTACTTAATGTTATAATATAGAAGCATGTGGAAGGTATTATGGGAGGAAAAACACATCAGAAATTAACTTTTAAAAAATGCATTTTGAAATAACTCTAGACTTACAAGAAGTTGCCAAATAATGCAGAGTTCCCATGTACCCTTCATCCCGCTTCCCCCAAAGGTGCTATCTTAAATAACCATAGTAACATTGGTCAGTATGATGGTTAATTTCAGGTGTCAACTTGGCTGGATTAGTGGATATCATAGATAGCTGGTAAAGCATCTTTCTGGATGTGCCTGTGAGGGTACTTCCAAAGGAGATTGACGTGTGAGTTGGTGGACCGAGTGGGGCAGATCCGTCCTCCATGTGGGTGGGCACCATCCAGTTAAGGGGGACCCAGATAGAACAAAAAGGCAGAGGAAATGTGAATTCTCTTCCCCTCCTCCTGGATCTCAGCTACCTTTCTTTATCCAGCTTGTATATAAGAACTCCAGGCCCTCTGGCTTTTGCACTCAGGGGCTTGGATCAGTGGTTCTCCATTTGTTCTCAGACTGTTAGCCTTGGACTGAAAGTTACATCATTGACTTCCCTGATCCTATGGCCTTTGGACCTGGGCAGAGCCACACTCCAGGCATCCCTGAGTCTTCAACTTGCTGACGGTCTATCGTGGGACTTCTCTGTCTCCATAACTATGTGAGCCAATGTTCCCAATCAATACCCTCTCACTTATCTCTCTCTGTCTATCTTGTCTTGGTCTGTCTCTCTGAAGAACCCTGACTAACACAGTCAGTTTCAACTACAGGCCTTATTCAGAGTCCGCCAGATTTTACATGCAGTGTGTATGCGTGCACGTGTGTGTGTGTGTGTGTGTGTATAGTACTGTGAGATTTTTATCACATACATAGAAATTAACTGCCATAGAAAATTAGAAAAGACTTCACTAAAGTGACAAAGTGTCTTGTTTATTTCTCACACCGTTGTGGAGGCCAGGATTTAATATTGCCAACTTACAGATGATATAATGAAGCTCAGCAAAGCCAAGAGGCTTGCCTAAAACGATGTCATTCCTAAGCGGCAGAGCTGGCCCCTGCAGTTTTCTGACACTCGGCATGTGTCGTGTTAAGGTCTCCGCCTTAAGGATGGACGCTGGGGTTGAAACAGCACTGGGAGTTCTCAGGGCTTCGTCTTCAGACTTAACTGGCCACAGACAAGTTTGTCACTACAGAACTGCTGCTATTTTGTAAATAGCAAATTACTATTTTCTTTGATTTTCCCTTAATATCTGGGCTCTGGAACATCATTTAAAAATTCAGGAAAAAACAGCCCCTGGCATTTCTAGATTTCCAGGGGGAAGTATTCTCCAGGAAACCCCCACTCTCCTTGTACTTTCTAGCTGCAGTCACCTCTTTGGGCTGTCAGCTAGAATCCCGCAGAGCAAAGAAAGCAAAAAGGTTTAAAATGGGGGACATGGAGAGAGGCTTAAGCAGCCTGGGAGGAATTCTGCGGAAAGAAAGTGACTGTTGTCCTTCCCTCTGAAGCTCCTTTTTGTTGCCCAGTCTGGCTGGAAGCAGCGGGTTCTGAACCTCAGCCAAGGGACAAAGGGCTTTTTTGGCGAAGAGAAGTAATTGTGGTCATGATGGGCCGAAACAGGAGGGAAACATTTTATGGGGTAACAGGGCCTCCCAAGTGTCAGAATTAGTGCCTACAGGATGTAATTTAATTCTGCAAGCACTTACCAAGCACCTGCTTTGTTCCGGCCATGCTCACGTGATTGAGAGACAACCCCAGTCCCCAGAGAATTCCCAAACTAGCAGAGGAGTCATTTATTCTTTCATTTGTTTACTCTCTCACTTTTTTTTGGCCATATAATTCAGTAACTAAGAACACAGCCTTGAAATAAGAGAGACAGGTTCATTCATTCAATAAATATTTATTCAGTACCAACTAAGTGCCCAGCTCTGCTCAAGGCAAGAGGGAGACAGAAGCAGACAAAATATAGATTCCCTACCCTTAAGGACATTGATTGATTGGGGGTTGAGGGGGAGAGAGAGACAATGTACAATAAGCATAACAAATAAATTATATAGTGTGTTAGAAGCTGGCAAGTGCTATGAGAAAAAGAAACCAGAGAAGTTTCAGGGGCCTGGGGTTTAGAATGCAGTATTAAATAAGGTGGTGGAGATTGACCTTACTGAGGAGGCACAGGCGAGAAGAGCAGAAGCAGGAGAAAGGGAGGGGAAGCAATGCAGACAGGGGGACAGGCAGAGACAAGGCCCTAAGAAGGGCCCATGCTTGCCCTGTCCAGGAGCCCAGGAGGGAGGCACAGAGCAGAGGGGAGGGGGAGAAGACAGTGAAGGCTAGGGGGAGAGTGCACAGGACCACATGGGCCATGGTACAATTTTTGCCTTTATTGAGTGACATGATTAGCCACGGCATGGTTTTAGCAGAGAAATGCCACGATCTATCACATTTTAACAGAATCACTCCCACGACAATGGTGCTGATACACCTTAAGTGTACAAAGCTGGAGGCAAGAGCACCTGCCAAGTGACCATGGCAGCAGTCCTGGGGAGAGAAGACAGCAGCTCAGGCCAGGCAGTAGCAGTGGAGGTGAAGAGAAGGGGCTGGATCCTGGGCATATCTTGAAGGCAGAAGCAAATGCCTGATGGATTGGCTGTGGGGCCAGACAAGGGGGGGAATCATCGAGGATGATTCTAAGTTTAGTGGCCTGAGTCGAAAAGGACCATTAAGAGGCTTATTAAAATGTGATCTTGAGCATGTCTCTAAATTTCCATTTTTTTCCTTGTAAAATGTAGAATGATAATATCTACTTTAGAGGGTTGTCATGAATGTCAAAAGAAGACTATACATGCAAAGCATTTGGTTTGTGAGGAGGGCATGTGATAAGTGTAGATAATCAACTAATTAATCTTACAGTATGTGCAAGGCCCTGGCAACAACACTTTGAGGGGTTTGGAGAAAGGTAAGATATGGAAGGGGTGAGTAGGGGGTGACTGAGACAAATGCAGAGACTGAGCTTTCATTCTCATATCTCCTAACTGATGCATTACCTTTAGCAAGTCTCCTAACCTCACTCTACCTCTGTTCCTCAATATGTGAAATGTGAGGGAGGTTGATCCATCAAGACCAAAGATATGTAAGCAAATCCACCCTGTGTTTTTGTAAATAAAGTTTTCTTAGAACACAGCCATGCTCATATTGTCTATAAGAGCTTCCCCGCTATACCAGCATTGTCGAACAGTTACAACAGAGACCATATGGCCTGCAAAGTTTTAAATATCATCTGGTCCTTTACAGAAAATGTTTGCAGACCCTAGTCTAGAACATTATTCTTCACATAGTTATTACAAATAGACGTGACATAAATATAGGCATAGACATGATCTTGGACATAAAGGTGTAAAATCTTTTCATCAAATGAAGTCTTACCCAGAAGTCTAATATGTGACACTGAATAAGTGTGCTCTGGTCTGTCTGAGAAGGTGGAGTGCGAGTGATATGGGGAATGTCGATTCCCTCCCAGGCTCTGACCACTCTCGGATCCAGGGTAAATCCTGAGGCACCTCCTCTTCATCCCTGGGAGACCCTGCAAACACAATTTGAAAACAATAATCTAAAATCATCCCTGAAGGCTCTTTCAGGTCTCTAACTGTCTATAGATCTATGTTCAAATAAAGTCTAAATATACTCAGATCAAAAGTGAACAGAATAGTTTTAAAAACATCCCATTTTTATAATTTAGCAAGGAGACCTTTCCAAATAAACGTCATGAATTGGGTGAACTAATACTTACGTTGAAAGTCTCAAAAATTGTATGGGAAGTTAATGTTACACTGGCTAAGGCCAAAATTCAATTCTTGTTGTGGCAGACACTTTCAGTCTCAAAAATTAGAAAGGGAGCATTTCCACATCCCTGGCTTTTCCCTAGCAATCAATTAGGTGTCAAGTGTCTGCCTTACTTTCTCTTAACATTATGGAAACACTGAAAAGTTTCAACTTCAATCAGTTTGCCTCTACTAACAAACTTCGATAAGAAAAATATCTTTCATACTCTATCTTCCACTATTTTTTTTCTGACTTGAATACCTGTGTGTTTTGGACTGGATGTTTGTGTCTCCTCAAAATTCATATATTAAAGCTCTAATGCCCAATGTGATGATATTTGGAGATGGGGCCTTTGGGAGGTAATTACAGTTAGATGAGATCATGAAGGTAGGGCACCCATGATGGGGTTAGTGTCCTTATAAGAAGTTAAGGACACTAATCCCATCGTGCTTCTTCTCCCTGTCTCTCTTTGCCATGTGAGGACACAGTGAGAAGGTAGCTGTTTGCAAGCCGGAAAGAGAGTGCTCACCAGGGAACCAAATCCACTGCACCTTCATCATGGACTTCTAGCCTCCAGAACTGTGAGAAAATACATATCTGTTATTTAAGCCATCCATCCAGTCTAAGGTATTTTGTTACTAAGACTGTCTATGTCCGGTCCCATTAGCTTACCAGTCTCTGACCTCCTCATTAAAACAGACCTTGCAATTCCACATCTTACAAGGAATGTTGCTGATTTGACTCATGCTCTGTCTTTAACGCTAGTCTGAAATGGACAATCACCTGTCGGCCAACATCAACAGACTCTCCCACACAAATATCCTATTTCTAGTGTCCAAAATAAAATTAACCATCCCCCATTTCCTCCTCCATACTCATCCTCCCTTCCTCACTTCTATTAATGTCACCATCAACCTCCCAGTCACCCCAGTTAGCAAACCTAAGAATCTATTTACATTCCTCTCTCTCTGTGCCCCACAAATGCAATCAATTGACATTATCTCTATTATATATTTTGCATTCATCTTATCTACTCCATTTCCACCATTTTTAGCTCAATTCCTGGTGATCTCTCCCCTAAACTCATATATTAGCCTTTTAATTCACATCCTTATCTTCATTTACTCTTTCTCCTGAAGTCTTTCATAATACTTCCAGACAAATCATCTTTAATTGGAAACATGATTATATCACTTCTCTATTCAAAAACCATTAGTAATTATCCATTGCTGGTAGAATAAAGTCAGACACTTATTTCTCATTTCAGTTCTTCCTCAATTTGGATTCCATCTACTTTCCTATCTTTGATTCTCACTACTACCCTTTATACACTTGACATGGAGATTTAAAGGAGATATTCACTTCCTACTGAACACCATCCTCATTTCCCTCTGGTTTCTTCTCCCTGAAATACCTTCCTGGGCTTTGCTGCATGTCCAAATCTTTCAAGGCTTGAGCAAACGCTTTTCTTTGACAGTGGCTCATCTGATCCCCTCTTCCTCTCCTTTAAATACCCTCAACATCTTAACTGCATCTTTACAGTGGCTTGATTTGGGCTGTGTTCTAAATTTTACCCAGTTGTGGCTTATCACTGGTATCTTCACCATTTAGTGTACTCTGATTTTTAGGATAATACTAGCTGCTCTAACAAATAAACTTTCCAAATTTTGGTGGCTTAACACCATAAAAGTTTATTTCTTTCCCATCTAATGTGGATGTTCCTGCTTGGTAAGTGATTTTTCTCCACATAGTGATGCAGGGACCCAGGCTCTCTCCATCTTGTGATTCTTCCATTTGCTAAGATCTCGGACTTCTCTGCCTCCAGCCAGCACAAAGGAAAAGAAAGAGTAGAAAAGAAACACCCACATCCTAATCACCATCACCTGGACACACATCACTTATAGTCTTATTCCTCTGTAAGAGCCAGTCAGTTGGTCCCTCTTTGATGCAAAAGGGTAAGGGGAATGTAGTCCTTGGCTGGGTGGCTTTTTCCCAGACATAGTTCTAGTCCATAGAAGAAAGAGTAGAAATTTTTGGTGGAGACTAAGCTATCTTTGACACATTTTGGCACATAGTAGAAATTTTAAATAAAAAATATATAGTTGGAGATAATATTTAACATTTTCACCATTTAATACCTATAATAGATCTTTTCTGTGCTAGGAATGGGGTCTGTGCATGTGTATGTATATGTGTATGTATATACATTATATATATTATATATACACATTGCAATATAAAGATAATAATTATTATTTTTGATATGAAGAAACTTTGTTTCAGAGGTATCAAGAAATATTAATAATAATAGCAGCAAGTGCAATAGAGCCTGCCTATAGTTCTAGCTACTTGGGAGGCTGAGGTGAAAGGATTGCTTAAGTCCAGGAGTTCAAGGTTATAATGAGCTGTGATCAGGCCACTGCACTCCAGCCTGGCTGACAGAGTAAGACCCTGTCTCTAAAAATAACAATAGCAATAATAATAAAAGCAATACTTATTGAGCATTGATTATAAAATGGACTAAAGACTTCACATACAAGGTTACCCACGTATATAAGTTGTTGAACATGATTTTTGAACTCAGGCCTATCTGACTCTAAAGACTATGTTCTATCCATTACTAGTTCAATCTTTTCTTCAGGTTATATAGCTAAAATGTACATGATGATAGAAGTTAACATTGATGGAGTGCTTCTTATTTGCTACCTCAATTATATGCCTTTTCCATGTATTGTAGAATTTAACCCACAACATATTATGATGTGTGTGTATACACACATATATGTATATACACTGTGTATTTATACACAGATATGTTAGTATATATATATATCCATCTGTGTGTATGTATGTGTATATGTGTATGTATATATGAGAACACACACATACACATATACAGGCAGCCCTTAAACAATGTAGGGGTTATGGGTACTGACCCCCCACATAGTCATAAATCCATGTATAACTTTTGACTCTCCCAAAACTTAACTACTAAGATTATGCCTACATGTTTTGTAAATTATATGTATGATATACTACATTCTTACAATAAAGTAAACAGAGAAAAGAAAATCTTACCCTAACAATATTTGTACCTCCATAATATGATGAAATAAAAATCATGTTCTAATAAAAAAAAATAAAGATCATCCTCTAGGACTTTTAGCAGGTAAAAAAAAAAAAAAAGAAAAAAGAAAATCATAAGAAAGATAAAAAGCATTTATTATTCATTAAATGGAATTGGATTATCATAAAAGTCTTCATCCTCATCATCTTCATGTTGAGTAGGCTGAGCAGGAGTAAGAGGTGGGTTTGGTCTTGCTGTCTGAGGGGAAGTGGAGAAAATCTTCATATAAGTGGACCCACATAGGTTAAATCAACCCCATGTTGTTCAAAGGTCAACTATATATATAACAGAATCATAACATACAGTTTTCTATGCATGTAGATACATACATATATATACTCTATAGTACCATTGTCATATTCTTCATACAGATGAGGAAACTAAGGCACAAAGAGGCTAAATCCTTGTTCAAAGTCTCAAGTGAACAAACGGTCCTGCAAATGTGAACTTGGACAGCCAGAATTCTAAGCACAAAGGTTTGCAACCTGCTAAATCTCTGGGTTTGCAGACCCGTTTGTTTCTGCCGACATGAGACTGTTGGGTCATTAAGGGCCATAACTGTGCTGCATTCATTATTATATTCCTTGTACCCAAGATTGCCTGGCACACTCCAATAAATATTTGTTGAATTGAATTGATGAAGTTGAGGGAAAATTGTCACGAAGAGTTGGTTGGACTAGAGTTTCCAGTCTGTGAGGTTACAGGAGGAGCAACAATTTCTGCCAGGGAAAGAAAACAGCCTGGCATTTCGAGAAGCAAATTAAAGTCCAAATGTTTGGTGAACTTCTCAGTGTTTGTCTTTCTGGGGAACTTCCGTGTTTTTGGCAGTGGGCCAGGGCTAGAGGGCCCTGTGCAGCGAGGAGGCCATTCTGGCTCACCCGGTCTATTGAGGTCGACCTTGTAACCCTCTTCTTGTGTGCCTCTCAGCCAAACGTTGCTCAAGGACTCCAGAGACAGAAAAACACTTTTCTGTTTGCATTGGGAGTTTGAGAAATATGTCTGCAACAGAGTTAAATCCCAGGTCTTTAGAAGTCATCTTTTATGTTTGAGACATAAACAAAAATGAGGCCCATGTGAAAAGAAAGGTCTTAGGATTTCCTAATGAGTTGACCCAGATTCATAAGCATAAAATATATAATTGAGATTTGCAAGGGGGCATTAGATAATACACAGCATTCGCCATATACAGCAATCTGGTCAATCCACCCAAATTAGACTCAATCTGATCTTTTCCATTTTTACCAAGTGAAAGGGAGACGGTTTTCATTTGGCTCTTGGCTTTTGATTTTGTTGTTGTTGCCATTGTGTTTATTTTAAATGAACCAATGTTTAGATTTTCGTGAAGATCATGTATTGAGTTCACAGTTTGTTCCTCTTTTGCAAACAAATAGAACTTACACAAAGAAAAATGTGTGTGTGTGTGTGTGTGTGTATGTGTGTGTGTGTGTGTATGTGTGTGTGTGCATGCACAAAAAGGCATAGGAAGAAAGGAGGAAAAAGATGACATCTCTTAGATAAGATAAAGAACAGACAAGACAGGAATGAGTGAGAAGCACTATAGCCTTAAGTCTCCTGGGCTCTGAGTCTGGGGCCCATCAGTGTTGCTGAGGATTTAGGTCCCCAAGGGTGACTATCATAAAACTTAAGCCACCCAAGATGGGAAACCAGGACTAGGCCTACTGATCAGAACCGGTGGATAGATATATAAGGTTTTCCCATTTATGAATAAGGGCTAAAATCCCTGCTTCCTACTCCTACCTGGAGCCATGGATTTTAGCAGGCTTCAGTCCTGAGAGAGACTAGGGTTCTGTTCACAACTAGGAACAGAACCAGGCTACATGCTGACTTGGAGACTGGATCTACAACACTTCTTTTATTGTTGTGTGTGAAACAGGATTCCTGAAATGCGATGGTGAGACCTAGAGACCTACATGGGCCTGGTGGGCAAGGAAAAGGAAATTTTTAAATCATTAGGAAGGGCAAATGTAATACAGATGAGAAGAGAAAGAAAATGAATAAAATTATCTCTCATTTAACCCTCAGCCTAACTCTATTTCCTAGCCTAACCTTAATGGAATAGAAACCAGGAGTTAGACATGCCAGATATCTGTGAGGGAAATTTAGTGGAATAAAGAATAAATGTGTGTACAAGAAGCACTCGGACTCCCAGGACACTTCCTATCCCCCACATGAGAGAACTACTCTCCCCACTCCCACGTATGCCCAAGGCCACAAAAGATGAGGTTCATCACTGGAGCCATGGAACCCAAAGGCTCTGGACTCAGGGACACCAGGAAGATGAGGGAAGGGTGAGGAACTATAATAAACATGCTGAAAATGAGAGCCCAGGTCCCTTTTTTCACTCAATTCCCAGAGGTCTTCAGCTAGTTTTATATGCCCAGGCAGGAGATTGGAGAATTCTGTGTCTCTTTAGGAGACTGTGAACTCCAGATGAAAAGACCTATAGTTAGTGGACTATGAGAGATTCTTTATAGAAACAGCTGACTATTTGCTCAACTACTCAATAGTGAAGCCCACTCAACAAGTCCTAACCCTACCTGTTGGCCTTTCAATGAGCTTTTAAGTGCCTCACTTTTCAATGTAAATAAATGGATAGCAAAAAATCACCAGTTTTTTGAAGAATATTTCTAATATAATAAATAGATGAACATAATTGTAAAAAAAATAACAAAATAGAGAAAAGAAAGGAAGCAGAATTTTTTAAAAAGTTTCTCAAAGAGGTAAATTATATTGCATCCATGACACAAGAACAAATACCATTTAAGCAATAATGAAAAAGAATGGTTTGAAATTAAAAATAGGACAAAACATTTTAAATTCAGTATAATATTTGGAAGATAAAACTGAAAAAATATGCCAGAATCAAAGTCCAAAGAGCTAAAAATAGATGATTTTTAAAAATAGAGGATCTGTTTAGGAAGACCAATAGCTAAGTATTAGAAGTTTCAAAAAGAAAAATTAAACACAGGGAAAGAAGTAATAAAGAAATAGTATAGGAATGTCTCATAATTAAAGAATATAGACCTAGAGATTAAAACCCTTTCCCAAGTGCCTAGTACAATCTGAGTACAAGAAAGGAAAACAGACTCTCACCAAGGCATAGTATTATAAAATTTTAGAATAACGAAGGTGAATAAAAGACCCTAAAATTCTCCAGAGAGAGAGAGAAAAAAAAAGAAGATTTTATACACTCATGCATCAGAGTGGCACTGAACTTCCTTACAGTCACACTGGATTCTAGAAGACAATGGAGAAATATCTTCAAAATGTGGAGGGATAGGGATTTTAAACTTAGATGTCTATACCAGGGCAAACTATCAATCAAATGGGAAAGTGGAACAAAGAATTTTCCAAACTAGCAACATTTTTTAAAATTATCTGCAATGAATTCTTATTCAGTGAGTTAATCAAGGGTATGTTCTACCAAACAAAGTAGTTAACCTAAAAAAGGACAAAGAATCCAAAAAACACCTGGACTACAGCCCAAAAGGGATGCAAAGTCAAGATAATTCTCACGATGATGATAAAAGGATATCCCCAGCCAATAGCTACTCACAAAGATGTGAAGCTTCAAAAATGATAGTCTTTTTCTGATTATTCCCTTCTTTCTATCCTACACACATATCCCTAATATATTGCCTGATATGTCTGAATATACTTAAAATAGACTGCACTTTTGTAAGATAATTTTAGAATAAATTAATGATAGTTACATGAAAAACTAATCAAATAAAAAATAAGGAATTTATTAACCTTAGAGAAAACAATATATAAACTATATACATACAGATATAAATAAGAAAGTAAAGTTAATTCTAGTACTTACCTTGCTCAGTGGTGAGTAATATTTATACACCATAATATAAACACACAACAAAAAATGTGATGCAATATATTGGGAGAGTGAGAGATATCATAACAAATTACCCATCTTCCAGAGTAAGAAATGAATAGATACCTAAAACTGAAAAAGCAGCATTTTAATATCTAAAACTGAAAAACTAAGAAATAGATAGCAGTATGTTCATATTACTTGACAATATGGAGG